TGTGGTTCCATGATCATTTCCTTAATTTTGACTACTCTGGTAGGTAGATTTCTGAGAAGGCTTCACTAGGCTGCCTGGTTTTGGTCTTGGGGGCTGGACATCTGAATGTCACTCTGAATATTAATGGGAATTAGGATTCTTTGGCGGATATGAAGGCATGTACTGAACAGACCGAGGACGCCTCTGCTTTCTGGCAGAGCATCTTGGAGAATGGATTCTTCAAACCAAACCCAATCTGCTTTAACTTTCAACTCCCAACCTACTTCCTGTCCTATCCAAGGTGACACTTGATGCATGTCCCATCCTGATCCCACTTAGGATGTGCATTTTTCCTGTCATTGTGAAAATGGCTGAACATGTAAGATTTTGGAACAACCTTTGGTCTATTCCATTTGTTATTAGGATTTAGGAACTTTTACAAAAGCTTTATAAAACTATGTTATTCCATTAAACCAAACACACTCCAGCTTCATTCCGCACAGCGATTCTTACAAAGAGTTCTTTGTCACACCAGAGACGGGATCTTTTGGTAGAATCCCATGATGGAGGATCTAGAATAGGTGTGCCTGAGGAGCATGTTGATCTAAGCAACAATGCTCTCATGGAGTTTTACAGCAAGGAAGGAACCAGATTAAGAAGGATTTTAACTTGGGAACCAGCAAATGCAGAGAAACAGGAAGTCTTTTCAAGAAAGTACAAAATATTCTCAGTAGTTTTTTTTTTACCAAAATTGTCTTTTAATAAGAACAATAACATTATCTTTGTTATTTCATAATTTAATCAATCTTCATTTTTAACTTTACTAGTAAGTTATGTCCCATCAATTTAACCTTAACCTTAAAACAATATCTATTCCAAACACCACATTTCATTCCATTTTTAAAACCTTTGTAACCTGAAAAGAAAAGTTTCAAACCGAGAGAAAAGTGAAAAGAATTGCAAAATAAAATAAAAACAACCTTCACCTAAGATTCACCAGGTGTTACTATGTTGCATATTTGTACTGTCCTCATTTAGAGAGAGATAATAGCTAATAGATAACTACAGATAGACAGATAAATGATAGGTTATTGATAGATAAGTAGATAATAGAGAGACAAAAGACAGATGATAGATATGAATATATTTGTACATACGATATAACTTAGCTCTTAAGTGACAGATAAATAAGTGACAGGTAGAAGTATTAAAAATTTGTATGTTGTATGATTTAGCTCTTAAAAGTAGATGGCAGAGAATGATATTATCTAACTTAGCTGTTTTACCTAATATTATTTCTAAACATACACTGTATTTGTTTTAGAAAATCATATTCTAGTGTGGTAGTACATGTTTTCATATAGAACATAATGTTGAAGTGGAAATTTCCACCCCATTCTTCATTTCATTTCATAATAAACCCAAAAAGTTAGTGTGTGCATTATTGTTATGTGCCAATGGACATCTTATCAACTTTTAATGACATAGCAAATGTAATTATGATGTTTAGCTATATAGAAATTAGAAAATATTTTATGGCCATTCTGCTCAAGATTTCACTGTAAGACAATAATACCTCAACAGAGGAAATGGGCAAAACTGTCAATAGAAAGTTGACAGAGGAGGTGACCTACAAGATCCCCACATGAAGAGATGTTCAGTTTTGTTAGTGACTTAAGAGATGCAAAGTAAAACCATAATAAATGATGACTTTGCAGCTACCACACTGACAAAAATGTAAAAGCTAGATGATACCACGCATCCTCACTAACAAGACCAACGCAGAGGGCTGCCAGATGCAAGGCATTAGTGATTTAGAAGACATCTCATCTTCTTACAGTGAAAGATGAGCTAGAAAGGCCAGATTTGCCTTCTTGGAAGCCTGTACATAGCAAGTTTTAAGAATAGAAGTTAAAGATGTGAATTAGAATGGGCCGATAGGACAAGAGAGATACTGATAAGCCATGCCAGAGCTTTTGATATAAAGCAAAAGCCAATGGAGTCCCAAGTCCTTATACAGAGCTGTACTTAGCAAGCACTCTGCAACCTTGGGTTCAACATTGACAGATTCAGACCATCACAAATAAAAGGTATTCACCAATTGCTTCTGTGGGATGTGATACATAGTAGCACACACCTATAATTCTAGTACTTAGGAGGCAGAGGCAGGAGGATCTAGAGTTCAAATTCAGCCTCAACTACATAGCAAATTCAAGGTCATCCTGGGCTAATGAGATCCTGCCTCATTAAATATATATATATATATATATATATATATATATATATATATATATATATATATATGTGTGTGTGTGTGTGTGTGTGTGTGTGTGTGTGTGTGTGTGTGTCCGGACTTCTTAACACTATTTTCTAAGTGCTATGACACAACATACATAGCCTTTTTACATTGAATTAGATATAAATTGTATACCATATGAACACCACATTTTCTATAAAGAACTGGAATATCTGATGATTATATTATTCTTGGTGAGACAAGGTTGTCCTGGAAACAATCTCTAGTGGTTGACAAGGGACAACTCTTTAATAATCAGTAGAGATGCTTAAAGGACACCATGGGGTCCACAAATAGCAAAGGGTTGGTTTCGGTTCCCACCAGCTTTTTCTAGCCCCATGCAATGTGGAGGTTTCAAGTTCTCTTCTTTAGAGCAGGGACTGTTTGTGGTGTGACAGATGAAGGAGATACACCATTAAGGAAGAAGACCCCTTGAATCCCAAAAGAAAATGACTTTGATGTGTAGGTGGGTTTTTCTGTCTAGACCTCCAGCCGTGCCTCAAGTAACCACACAGAGACTTACTAACAGTTACAAATGTTTGGCTGATAGCTTAGGTTTGTTTTTAGGTAGCTCTTATAACTTAACCAATTTCTATTAATCTATGTGCTGTCCTGAGGCTCATTTACCTGGTATATGTAGTTCCCATCCTGCTCACTCTGTGTCAAATGACGTCTCCTCCAACTCTGCCCTTCTTCTCCTGCCCCAAAAATCCTGTTTAGCCATCAGCCAATCAGCTTTTTATTAACAATGAGAGCAGCACATCTTCACAGTGTATAAAAGGATTATTCCACAGCATTGATAATTCCTATACCCAACTAAACAGTCATGTAGGGAGAATAAAGACATTTTCAGACATATCATGAAAAAAAAAATCACACAAAAATCCAAAATAGCTTTAGAATATTTGTTGGTATCTTTTTAAAGTGCCAACATTTAATCAGAATCACTTCAGTTTTTCTGAAATGATAGCCTCCATAAATGTATGGTGCTTGAAAATGAGTTAAAATGCAGAATACCCATGAAGTCTGAGAGTATTCAATATTAAGGAAGCCACACATAATAACATGCACCTAGAGTTACAGCTACTCAGCAAGTTGAGCAGAAGGACTCCTTGGGTTCCGAAGCTGGAGACAGCCAAGGCAACACAGTTAGATTCCATCTTACACTCAAAAAATTATATGAATTCAGAAGTTATGGTATTCAACTACAGAAGGCAATAATGTATGGGCCAGATTGACTTTCAGGCAGTGACAGGGGAAAACTGTTACTAACTAAAAGGGTATGACAAGTCCCCAGACAATAGAGACAGATCCCAGGCCCAGTGGGAGCACCAGGGTGCTCAGAGAGCGTCACTCATAAGGTGTCCATTTGGACAAGATGTTGAAGGATAAAGAGGAAGCTTGGAACTGAGGTTAAAAGTGCTGGGTGGGGGTTCAGTAAAGAACCTGTCAGGAAACAGAAACATCCAGGGGTCCAGGAAGCATGGACCTTTATGCCACTCAAGATGGTGACATTTGTGATGTCAGCAGACACACTCAAGGAATCGTAGTACCCTGTTCAGGACTAGCAAGCTCAGCAATGTGACCTGAGGATGACTCCAGTGACGAAATATAGTGTGGGACTCTAACCGAGCAGAAAGGACCGACCACTCAGTCTTTCTTACTGGACATACTGATCCTTTGCAAGTCAAATATGACCTGCTTGGACAGGAACAGGAAATGGAGCCCCTAAATCTGCATCCACAGGATTCCTGTCATACTGACGCTGGGAATAACTACAGAAGGCAGGAATGCTAACTTGGGCAGGAAAATGCAATCCTTACAACACATAAATCAATGTCTCCTAGCAAATGAAACCTGTCTGTTTACCAGTCCAAAGTGTTAACACACTATTTCAAACAGATTGCTAGAGGTAAAAGTAAGTAGGACACTGCTTTGAAAGTATATCAGGTAGAATATGGCTGATGACAATATGAAAAAGTAGAAAAGGCGGGGGGGGGGGGGGGGGGAGACTTTCAGAAGATTTAAATTGTTAATGGCATTAACCATGGGAGATACCCTCAAGAGATGGGCCTTTTTTTTTTTAAAGTGTGGAATGTAATCCCAACTCCTGCCTTGAAGGTAATGCTTAAATTCCCGAAGAGTTTTTCATTTGGTTTGGATTTTTTTTTAAGTATTTTAAATTTTAAAATACAGTATAATTGAGTTAAAGAGAGTGTTCCACAGGAACAGCAAAAGAACTTTTTTTTTAAAATACTACTTTAAACTGTGTAATGTACTAAGATATTAAACGCAGTCTATAAACTATTATTTGTACTAGGTATAACATGCAATTCATGGGGGCTTTGTTTGAATTAAGTTGGCTACGAGGTTGTCATTGGAAAACAAAAACCACAGCTGCCCCCATTGACCAGGTCTCCTTCCAGCCCCTTCTGTGACTCCGAGGTCGAACCTGTTTAGACCCATGGTTCCCATTAGCGTCTCTCCAGCGATATGCATATTATTAACCTGGATAGATGCGAACACAGCTTCGCTTCCTCGATCTCACAGTGGAACCCTGATAATGTACAACAAAAGTTCCCCAGAAAGGCTGTGTGTATGGGGGAGGGGGGGAGGCCAGGGCGCTTGCGCTCTCGGCGAAACATTCAGAAAGGTAACAGAAGCTGCCCCCCTTTCGAAAAATGATGAGTTTGATTTAAAAAGAAAGAAAAAATTAACAAGCTGTGTCGTGCGCTGCACATGATCAGCCATGCTTGCTAAGTCTGTCTGTTGGCTGTTGCTATGGCTACGGAAAGCCAATGGAACCCAATGAGCTGTCGCCGCAGCGCTGAGAGGACCAGCCATTTTACTTATGGAAAGCACTGTGTGGCAACGAGAGCTTCGCGGTGGAAGAAGCATTTATTTCTTTTAATCTTTTGAGAGAAGAGAGCCACAATGGGCATGCTAGTGCACAATCATTGCAGCCACGTGTGCCTGCGAGCTGCCCCTGCGACAAGCTGTTGTTGACTGCTGTTGCAATTAGCTGATTGGAGCGCGGGGAATGCAGGGTGATAATGCTGCGTATCCGCTCGCGGGCAGCAGGAAAGGGTTTTGTCTCGGGAAGGCAAGCCTTCCCCCCCGCCCGCACAGTTATCTCAGCAGCTCCCCAGCTGAGAGAACTGGGGCTCTGAAAAGAGGGTGTCGCCCTCTGCTAGCACGGATCCTGAGCCAGGCTGCTGCTGCTTAGGAGCCGCGGGTCTGGGAAAGCAGGTGTGTGTGTGCTCGGATGGGCACTGGGCTGGAACGCAGGCGGACGCTCTTGAGTCCACCTGCTTCCTGTGAACAGACTGTTAGCTCAGAGCATCTGCTCCAGCACGCTGACGCTGAGAAAGGGGCTCCGGGCATCCCACTTGACTGACGGAGGTAAGCTTTTCCCCCTCTTTCGAAAGCTCGGCATAAAAATAAATTGAAGCAAAAACTTAACCTGAAATTTTTACATTGATCGTTATGATCTGAAATTAAGGAGGAAACACACACATTGCTTCCACAAAAGTAAGTGTCTAAGATACAGAGTTGACTCTGTGAGTTGAGGTTCCAAGAAATTGTATGAAAAAGAAAAAGGCGCTACTGTTTTGTGTTAGATTTTAAAAGAACTATGTACTGTTTTAACCAACTATGATGGCTTGTCTTTCTGGATAGACCTGATAGCCAATAACCTTTCTCTCCGACAGAACAATGGGTTCTTTTGTGACTTGCCCTTTGACACGTTAAAAGAACTACACAGTAAACCGGCTGCATGCAAGCTGTGAAGCGTTTGGTTTGAAGCCTCATAAATGTTTTAATCCTTAACACCTATGCACACCTTTAAAGCAAGGAATTCTGTTTCCTATGTGGATCATAGTAGCTAGTGGATTGTGTCCTTGCTCATTCTAGACCAAATGGCCCGGTGTGCTGTTTGGTTTAGTCCTCGGCAGTTATACAGCAAACACTGTAGGTATTGGAAGTTGCTCACACCTCCTCTCGCAATATCCTGCATGCCAGGCTACCCCAGAGCACAACACCCCCATTGTACTCCCCAGGCTCAGAATCCAGGGAAAGAAAAGAGGTGAATTATCGGCACTGAACTCCAGCATAGCTATAGGAAAACTTTTCTTGCATAATTTTTCTCACAAGTAGACAGATTTCACAGGAGAGTGAAACAGAAAAAAAAAAAAAAAACCCACATTCTTCCTACAGATACACACACCAATAATGGGAGTGATGTCTGCTGCTGATCACTGCCTGAAAGTGGGACAGACTTGGAATTGAAAGGGGGATTGCCTCTTCGTGGGCATTTCTTTGGTGTAGAGTCTCTTAGGAACAAGCTGGTCCTGTGAGTTGAAATTGGTCAGCCAAATCAAACTCCCTGGCAAGGGAAGGGCCCAGAAATGATTAAATTCCGCTTCAGCACCGTCTCAGCCTTTCCTAAGTCAGTTCTGCTGCTGGTGTACCAGGAATGTTGAATTAGTCATAATGCTGTTGAAAATACTTACTGAAAATTATTTGGCTGACAACTTCTGATAATACATCTCCGCCAGCTAAAGATGGAGCTTATCGTGAAATTTCAAATAAATAGTAACTGAGATCTTTTCCCAAGAAATAATTTTATTATTTACTGTCTTTTACTTGAAAAATATAGATCGCATAAGGAGTCTCCTGATAACATTACTTGGGATATTTTCACTGATATGTGTGAACACGTATCACCTGTTTCATATGTCAGCATATTCTCAGAGCAAATCATAAAGCATAAAAGGGGGTATTTTATAGCTTTTCTTCTGTCTGTTCAGGATATGATAAAGATTTAGACTCAGAATCCTCAGTGTAGAAAAATGTGAACACATGTTGGATACGGAGGCATGTGAACATGACTGAGTGGGAAATGGTCTATGGGATAAAATGCTGAGATGATGGAATTGCGCTTCACTTGGTTTAGTTTTCAAAGAGAAGTCAATGAACAGACTTAATCTTAAGTCAAGTTCTAGGAATAAAAATCTCAGCCATGTAAATGAGTCAGTGAAAACAAAATGAATGATAAAAAAAAGTCCCTTTCAATTTCACTTCCTTTTTATGATACCGCCAAAAGGATTCTTAGATTAACACCATGAACACACCTGAGGCAAGAAAATAATTCTCTATTAGGTTCCCTCGGGGTGAATTTTAGAACAGGTTGTAGAAACACCTACATCACACCTGACTGGTGAGTCCTGTTGTGCTTGTGGTGTCTTTATGCGGGACAAGAACGTGTGAGGAAAATAGACATGCACACTCCTTACCCTGGCTCTGTATTTCCGCATTGCTAACCATTTAAGGCGGCAGCTGTGGACGATGGACACCTCAACACCAGTTCTGTGCAGCACACCAAGAGCTGTTAATTCATCAGTTTTGAGAACGGAGTTCAGAGAGTCCACATCCGTCATCACTTGGCTCATTTTTTTTTTTGGTCTAGTTTTAGACTCGATTTCTGCCATTCCCAACTCTCCTATTGGCAAAGTCAAATATTTTATCATTTCCAAAACACACTATCAAACTGTGACAAATGTTGACATCCTCCGTTGTAGATTTCCCAGCAGCACTGGTCATTTTCATGGACCCAGCAAGAATGCCTCCCCAGACTGTTCCTTACCACATCTGGCAACCCATGTCTCTCTTTCTGTCTACAGCATCATCTTGTGTTTGCCTCTGTTCACGGGTTTTCACAGTCTTACTGCTCTCTGATTCTACAGCATTTAGATTGATGATTGATGATTGTACACTATTTAGAACCTAGCACTCAGACATTATGTTGATAAGTTCATGCTTCACTATTAGCTACTGTAAATATAGCCTTAACTCAGGACTGCCTTTTATCAGAGAAACTCAGAACATAAAAAATAATAAAACAAAATAAAAAAAGACATCCACCTCTCCGATATGAAAATGTCACAGTTTCATAAAAGCAATGAATATCTTGTATTAAATAGTCATTTTCTGAAAGGAAATCTTTAAACGTAACTTTTAAACAAACCAACAAAAATTTCAGGTGAAAAGAAAAAAAGTAAACATTGCTGTTTGGGATTTGCTCTGTCAGCTTTTGACTAAAAGCTGAGTATAATGTAAGACCCTTAGGAAGCAGTTTTTCATATTGAAGCTGAGAAAGAGGAGTTTTGAGCTGAGGGAGGACTAAGGAATTGGAATGCAGCACCTAGTAGCCAAGTTTCTTTCCATTTCGTAAATAAACCTTGAAGGTTACAGGCTGCCTCATCCTGCATCCTTCCCCCTGAATGAGCTCCTAGGTAAGAGAGGGGCATCACTCTAGCTGTAGACCTGATTTTGATAGAGGCTTGCCTTTTCCCCAGATAATGGCATAATTATTATTTTTAAAATATTCTAATTACCATTTTTTTGGTGGGGAAATTGCTAGAATGTTGTCATCCATGGGAGTGATGCATCAGGAACTCTCTGTACAATTCCGTCTCTTAAGGTACCCATGTTCAAGACCAAAGTTGTCATTAGTTTGGTATGAATGTTTTGTTCACAAAGTAGCTCAGAATAGAAAGTTCAAAATAGTCAGATGTTTCAAATGAGGAAGGAAAATATTAAGAAATTCACATTTCTAGACATTCTAACATCTACTCCATATTTGAATTTTGTAATGGAAATGAGTTAAGTAGAGGTTCCTCATGATTGTACTGGGTTCTAATGGCTTGCGTTAGCCATCTTCCAGCTGATGTTAATGTATAGCATCCTGTAATTAAATAATAGACAGAGCTTGATATTCATCTTAAAAACTAGTTAATTATCTCAAGTCACATATAGAGATTAGATTTTAGGAAACACAATCTCATCACATCATTCTCTATATTTCATATTTAAATAACATGTGAAGGTTTACATTATACATAAAAATATTTGGTAGTATAATGATTGGCCCTTGCCTTTTGCAATGAAGAATTATAATAGATGACTGCACTTGGTAAACTATCCCTGTCGAGAATTATATTGAGTATTTCAAAATATCTATAAACCATTTCTGAAAACACTAAGACGTGTGTATTCAGCTATAGGAGCGCAGTTGTGTAACTATTGATCTCTAAAAATGGCCCCATACCTCTGATTCATCTTAAGTTCAATCGAGGTGATGTTAGTTGGATGGAGGATGGATTGCTTGCTGGGGATAGCATACATCGTGACATACTTACATAGAATAATGTCACGCTTTCCAACCTTCAAAGCAGAAATGTACTAGTTCATTAAATAGGAAATTTGGCCAAAAGGCATGAATTTCTTGTCCCTATATGAGTCAGGCATATGTAGGTCTAGCATTGTTTTTGCTTGCTCTCTGAAAGGTTTTATTTAAGCAGAATTAAAAAAGCTGTTATTCTTCCTCTACCTAACCAAGAGCTGTCTCAAAGAAAACATACCCATCCCCTTCAAAAATATCTTATTAATATTTCTTAAGTTATTTTTACAAATATATTGTAAATAAAGGAAAATCAAACAAGGAAAAGGTGTACTTGAAATGTTCAGGGACTTTTAAAATGCACATTTGCCTGGTATTTTTTGGTTTGGGGTGTTTTTCTTTAACTCAGACATTCAGTTCCTCTACTTTTCCTTTGAGAAATGTTCATGAAGAAGGACAAATATCAAAGAGGAATTTCTTATAATGAGCCATATCCTATGTCTTGAGAAGGATATAATTTTGTGCAGTATTAATTAAGCAGCATGCGGGGGCTTAAGTTCAAGCTAACATGCTTACAGGTTATCAAGGTGAGTCTAGGCCAACCAACATGGAAAGAGATCTTTTCAGATTCCTTTCCTACTCTTTTTTTTTGGGGGGGGGAATGGTTGGAGTTGAAAACAGGGGCAACTTAAATGTCCCCAATTCCACATCCCCTCCATGTTCTTCTCAATGTGACATCCCTTAGAGACTAAGGTGTTTGTATCAGCTACAAAGACCAACAAACTACAACCTAGATAGACTTTGGACCAAGAGTATCAACACTTAGAAAATTCCAAACAGGAGGTACAAATGCCAGTAGGACTTTGGTGAAGTTTTTAAGTGCACAGAAAGATACACACACACACACACACACACACACACACACACACACACACACACACATATTCTGGCCACACTGGAGAAAATGCTTTTGTTTAAATGTTTATTCTGTCATCCTCTACAAAGTACCTAGTAGTCTAGCCTAGGATAGCTGGTTCCTCAGGAGCATTTAGAGCTCCAAGGAAGTGACTGTCCATGAGGTGGCATCCCTGTAGATAGAAGTGTACTTACACTTTTGACTATGGGAAATCTTTCTCCATCTATTAACTAAGGCTCAGCTACTTCTGGACTTATTAGGATATTGAATATTTTACCCCCTTTGTCCATACTTGATACAACTGGA